GTCAAAACTGGGAGATGTAAAGTTACAACTGTGAGATGTAAACTCAGTATTGCGAGATGTAAACTCAGTATTGCGAGATGTAAAGTTAAAACTGTAAGATGTAAAGTCAGAACTGCGAGATGTAAAGTCAGAATTGCGAGATGTAAAGTCAAAACTGCGAGATGTAAAGTCAGAACTGCGAGATATAAAGTCAAAACTGCGAGATGTAAAGTCAGAATTGCGAGATGTAAAGTTAAAACTGTGAGATGTGAAGTTAAAACTGCGAGATGTAAACTCAGTATTGCGAGATGTAAAGTTAAAACTGCGAGATGTAAACTCAGTATTGCGAGATGTAAAGTTAAAACTGTGAGATGTAAAGTAAAAACTGGGAGATGTAAAGTCAGTATTGCGAGATGTAAAGTCAAAACTGTGAGATGTAAAGTCAGAATTGCGAGATGTAAAGTCAAAACTAGGAGATAAACTCAGTATTCCGATTTAAACTCAGAATTGCAAGAAGTGAGAATTATGAGATGTAAACTAGAAAATCTGAATTTATATCTCGTCTTTTTGACTTTATCCCTTTGAAGTTCAAATGTTACAATTCTGACTTTATATCTTGCAGTTCTTACTTGACATCTCACAATTCTGAAAAAAAAAGTCTTAATTGTGAGATCAAAAAGTCCAGTTTACCTTTTATTTTTTATTCCATGGTGGAAACAGGCTTCCATAGAAACATCTGAGGCAAAGTTGAAAGAAAACTATGTGCTATGAAAGAGCAGCATCTGAGAAACATCATTCTCCTCTGGGCAGTCCAGGCGATGCAGTGTGTTTTAAACAGAAAGAAAAGAAAGCTGTTTGTTTTTTTACAAGGTTAATATGTTTATCCGACTGTCTCACATTGCATTGAACTGTACATATTCTTCAGACGCAGTCTTTACATTTTGACCATGGGTTTTTGCATGCACTACAAAAGGCCGACAAATGACTCCACAATACATGTTCAAAACTCCAATCACTGAAACATAAAAACACTCCAGGTTCACAGTCTGCACAGAGTGGACATACAGATACACCGTGGGACTGACAATGAGACTCATCAAGAGAGACAAAAATACAAGATCTAAGTTCAAAAATATATATATACCTTTAAATTTTTGTCAGACAGTATATATTTGAAACGGTGCCCTGACTTCTTAAAGCAGCAGATAATATTAACATGAAGAATACTATCCTCTTAAGTTCTGTGGGTGGTGGGAAAACACACACACACACACACACACACACACGCACACACACGCGCACACACACGCACACAAAAACCTGTCCAGCTCACATTTAACCCAAAATCCAAAAATAAATAAATAAATATGCATATAGAAAATTATGCCTATTTTTGACCAATAAGGTTTATTGTATTGTGACTTTATTTTAGTGACAATTCTTGTTGAAAAAAAAAAAAAAACACAAAAACTTTTATTTTTTTTTTAAGAATAACATTTATTCAGCAAGGGCACATTAAATTAAATTGATCAAAAGTGACAGTAAAGACTTTTATAATGTTAAGACTCCTAAAAAATGCATCACAGTTTCTACAAAAATATAAAGCACAGCTGTTTTCAACATTGATAATAATAATCATGTTTCTCAAGCAGCAAATCAGCATATTACTGTAGAATGATTTCTGAAGGATCATGTGACACTGAAGACTGGAGTAATGATGCTGAAAATTCAGCTTTACATTACAGTATTAAATTACATTTTACAATATATACTTTAAAAATCTTATTCATAATAAGTAATAATATTTCACAATTTTTTCTGTATTTTTGATCAAATAAATGCAGCCTTGGAGAGCATAATCATTAAAAAAAATGACCTCAAATATTTGAATGGTAGTGTGTTTTTTTAATTTTTTTATTTTCGTCAGAGCCTATATATTATTCAGTACTTATTAATGTTACTATTAGCACTGCTTTCAATTTATAAATAAAAAAAATATTTTACTCGTGCATATTAAGTATAATGTCAAAATGCAAAAAAAGAACTGAAATGCAAGAAGAAAAAAAAAACTTACCGATCCTAAAATAGACGTCATTTTTTCAAGTTTTCTTTTGATTTTGCAGTGAAATGTGACCTGGACATGTTCTTGACAGGTTTCATGAAATGCGCGCACACACACACACACACACTCAAATGCGACAGCTCTAATCTCTCCATGGCTGAAGGAAAAGAAAGGTTCTAATTAGAGCGAAAGTGTCCGTGCCGCGCTTGTGTTTTCAGAGGCTCTGCTGCGGCGGACTGAACTGAAATCACAGTGTGAATCGGTGCAGCTTTGTTTCACATCATTATTGCACATCACATCTGATTGTTGCACTGGGTGAATTTTCCAGGAAACGGGGATGAGAAAGAGAACTGCGAAAAATCAGCACACATTCAAAGACCGCAAGACATTCAAGACGAGGTTTTGTGGCTTCATATCTGCTCATTTACATTAAAACCTGACAAAATTAACATTTTAGAAGATGTACACATTAAAAACATTTTAGGAATAAATGTTAAAATTCCTTCAAATATTTTAGCTTGATATGGGACTCAACCAATGGCGCAGAGTTGGGATCAACGCAGCTGTGCAAATGAAAGCATAGTGGTTATTTACAAATGTGCTTTGAAGCCATTTCATGAGGTCTGTAAAGCACTAGTTCAGCCCAAAATGAAAATTTGATGAAATTTAAATGTAAAATGAGAGACCAAACAGCTGATAAAAACATCACAATAATCCACACCTCTCCAGTCCATCAGTTAATGACTTGTGAAGCCAAAAGCTGCGTGTTTGTAAGAAACAAATCCATCATTAAGATGTTTTTAACTTCAAACTGTTGCTTCTGGCCAAACCCAGGTAACAACTGTAGGTTATAAAAACATTGTGGGAACATTGTTTTGAAATGTCCAGTTTTCGTCGTCATGATTAGAACGTTAACGTTTATAAAAATGTTTCTTACAGTATTCTACTACCTTTCACCCAAAATATAACGTTATTTGAACTTTTAATGTTAATATTCTAAGATTGTAAAAATGTCCAGTTTTCTTGTTGCAATTATAACGCTATTTAAAAGTGAAAAGTTATTTCACATTTCATCATAAGGACATTCTGAGAATGTTGTTCTATGAACGGTTTCTCTCAACGTTATGAGAACGTATATGAAGTATCAATAACGTTATAAGAACATTCCATAAACATTACTTTAAGAATGTTATATAACTTTTAAAAAACACGTTAGCTGGGTAATCCATAACAATGCTTCTTCTAGTGAAAAAGCCCATCTCCTGTTCTCCTCTCACATCAAAATCCACCACATATTTGTTTAGAGCTGTTTTGGTTTGTAAACAGAGCTTGATCTGTGCAGATTTCTCTCCTGATTCAGACCAGACGACTTTTTCACTGGAGGAAGCATTATTATGAATGGAGAACTCATTATTTTACGTGATTTGAAGTTAAAATGCCACAAGATGTTAACTGATGGACTGGAGTGGTGTGGATTACTTGTGGATTATTGTGATGTTTTTATCAGCTGTTTGGACTCTCATTCTGACGGCACCCATTCACTGCAGAGGATCCACTGGTGAGCAAGTGATGCAATGCTACATTCTTATCATGTTTACTCTCTCTCTACTCTGTAGTTTAGTATAGTCAATACACTAATACTTCATTTTTAAACACTTGTGCCTCTACACATCTTAATACACTTATTGCAACGACAGAGGCCTTGGAAGGGGGTTCGAGGGGTTCGAGGTTTGCTACCTGACACAGAGGGGAAGCCACAGGTGGATGTGTGTCCTTTATACAGATGCGACAGATGCGACAAGAGCCGACTCGTTTTAAGCAGGAAACGTTTCACTATCCATATCGTGATTTTTTTTTTTTCATTGCGCCGACTGGCTTCAGTCTGTATCCACACCGAAAATAAACGGGAAACTCCAAATGTCGTGAGCAGTCA